TGTGCTGCTCTTGCTATTTGGGGTCACCCTGTGACCCAAGAGCTCTGCCCTCCCTCCTGCAAGGTTAGGGGACAAGTGGTTCTGGGCGCCAGCTCCTGCTGACCTGCCCGGTGGCATGCAGCTTGGGGTGGCTCGGCTCCACAAGGGCGAGGGGATCTTGCTCTGCCCATGGCCACTTGGTTGTCCTGTGCCAGCACCCCTGGGGCACAAAGGTTCCCGTAGGGCTGCAAGTGCATGCTGCAATGCCAGTGACTGTAGCAGTCAGTTTGTCACCCCTTCAAGCCCCCTGTGCCCCTCACAGTAGGGCCAGAGGTGTTCTGTGGGGGTTGTTTGGTGGGAATTGAAGGAGGGCTCCTTCCAGCTCTGATGGACCACCAGCTCCTGCTGTGCAGCTCTCCCCTTGGAGCCAGAGCAGAATCTGAGTAGGTTTGGGACCTGGGACCTGTGCCCTGTGCAGGTATTCTGCACAATAACTACTAGTGCCACTGCTGCAATCTCACTCTGAGCTGGGGAACAGGGTGACATATTTCCTCCAAAGCCTACAGGTAGCACCACTGGCTTAGATCTGTTGCCAGTTCTGTGCCACTGCTTTGCCAAGCTCCAGCCGTGGCAGGAAACAGCCTCTCCGAGCAACTGAGTGCTGAAGCTTGGCCGGTGCCCACAGCCACTCCTCCTGTACTTTGTACCCTTCATGGGAGGGGTGGCAGGGTTTCCCTGAGCAGCTGCTGGCACCAGTGCTCTGCCTGTGTGAGGACAGGACAAGTCCCAGAGGATGCTGGCTGAGACCACTACTCCCTGGTGGAAATGGTGCCTCTGCTTCTGATGACAGCAAGGGTATGAGCCTGCCACCAGAGCCACTGAGCATCAGGGAGGAAAACTGGTTCCACAGCTTCTTGCACTTGTGTTAGGGCTGGCTTCTTCAGTGTGGTCACTGAGCAGATCACAGCTGCTGATCTGGACCCTAAGAAGACTGTGGGGGAAGCGGATGTGGGCACTGCTGTGCTGCTCAGCATCCCCTGCACCTTGGCTGGCTGGACCTGCTGTTGGCAGTCCCGAGACCTCTCCCAGCCTGCAGAAGCTGGCTGGGCAAGTTAGGGGTACTGCTCTCGGGCTGGTGCCTGGCTATGCCTGCCCAGCATCCACTGTTCTGTGTGGGACCTGGAAGAGGCTCTCCACCTCAGCCCTGGAGACCAACATCCTGTTAGTTCTTGGGAGCAAGGTTCCATGCTGCGATGCTGCTGTGTCACAGAGGGAGAACAGGCTGACCTTAGCCATTAACATTAACCTTAGAACAGGCAGGGAATGGCAGAGCCACTCTGGTGTTGCTGGCTGGGGATGGGAGGCCCTGGGCTCACTCTGTTCCCCTTCTCCAGTGCCTAGACTGGGATGGGACACAGCCCTGCTAGGCACACCCTTGCTCCCAGCACCAGAGAGGATGTGGCTGGGAAGTTGTGGTCAGATGGCTCCCATGTCTGGCTCAGTGGTCACAGTGAAATGAAAGTCTGTCTTAATCTGCAGGGTGAGTGCCAGTGGGGTGTCTGGTCTGTTGGGGAGGTTGGGATGACAAGGGGGAGCAGCTCTGCAGTAAGGCAAGTGATAATAGACATGTGGTTTCTTGAGGTGAATAAAGGGAGACCTTGTTTGGGGCTCCCTCATTCCTTCAGCTGAGCACCAGGAATCTGAGGATGTGGTCCCCAGAGTCCTGACCCTTTCCCCTTCCCATTGTGTGGGGAACTCAGTGGTAACCCTGAACCCAGCCTTGGTGCCTGTGACTGCAGCAATGGGTTTCTCCCCATAACTGCTGCTTTCTCCCCGCCTCCTCCATGTAGTGCTTGGACCAACGACCATCCAGTGCCTGCTCAGCTGCAGCTCCTCCAGCTTCCCTGGGGACCTCTTGCTGTCCAAGCTGAGCTGGAGGACTGCCAGGATGGTGCTGCTTCAGCGAGGACCTGGACTTAGGGAGGAGGATGAGGACTTCCCAGAGTGTGGTACACACCCACAGCTGTACACCAGTAGCCCAAGGCTCCAGCATGGGGCTTCATGGTCTTTGCAGCTGGACTGCTCCTAGGGAGCCTGGGTGCAAGGTTGTGTCAAGCTGGCCAGCGAGGCTGCTGGCCTCTGGAGCCTACAAGGTGCCTCTGGCTCCCAGGCAGGGTGCCAAGCCCTGGGCTGGGGAGCAGGTCCTGCTCCCTGCCACTCCGGGCTTGCTCCAGCACAGTAAGCCGCAGGGTCTCGGGACAGCCCGCTGAACAGGGTGGGCCCCTGGCACAGCGCCTTGCCTGGGAACATGGCCAGCAGCCCCACTGTGTCCTAGGGCGCTGGGGCAGCTGCTTGCTGCCATACCTGGATGCAAGATGCTGCAGTGCCCCATCCCCACAGGGTGGGGAGCAGTGTGTATTGGGAGGTCTGTGCCAACACGCTGTGTGCATCCCCTGCAGGACACCTGACCTTTGGCCCAGGACAGCCTGGTACTATGGCAGACCCCCCTGGCTGCTGCCACCCCTGTGCCACCTGCCTGCTCTGCCTCTACAGCTGCCAGTGGATCTCCACCAACAAGAAGAGGAAGGGCATGAGAACCACCAAGGTGATACCATGGGTGATGCTGAGCTGTGGCTGGCTCTGGAGGCTCAGAGTAGTGGCTGGGGTGGGGAAGGGCTCCAGCTGGGGGACTAAGTCCAGACATTGGGCTGCTCTCCAGGGATGAGCCCCAAGAGAGCTGGGGTGCTAGCTGGCACTTTCTCTGTCCAGGCACTGCCCTAGCCTGGAGCAGTGAGAAGGTGAGAGGGTGAGCTGTCTGTTCCTGCTGGGCAGCAATAAGGGCAGAGCAGCACACTGCTGCAGCTGGCAGGCTGGGCCCTGGCTGTCCTCTGCCTGGCCAAGCGCGCGGCTGCAGTGGAGCTCACGCGTGCCTGGAGCTCCTTGAGGGCTGAGCGTGGCAGGCAGGTCCTGGGGCACTGAGTGCCTGGCAAGGCACGTGGGAGGCACAGTTCCTAGGCTGGGTGTGGTCTTTGAGGGTGGCTGGAAGGGGGTGTCCCCAGCAATATGTAACCTGGGAGGGGTGAGGCCCTGGGACTTTCTGCGGTCTCCAACTCTCATGGGAGTGGCTGTGCCACTGCTTGTCCCATCTTGCCTGGAATGAGTGGGCTGCAAGTATCCTTGCCCCTTCCCATGTCCAAAGCCATAGTCTGCTCTGAGGGGCTGCTGCATGAGAAAGGAGTCAGTCTTGCCACAGGGGCTGTCCTCCCCAGCCTGGCATAAGCAGCTTTTTCACATGTTTTAGGAGATGCTGGTCCATCTTCCCATAGAATGGGTCCAGCCAAATGAGCTCTCCTGGGGAGCTCTGTTTCCTCTCCATGGGGCAGCACAGTGCCTGGACCTATGAAGCCAGTGCCTGCTGTGAACCCTGTGCACACTGCTGCAGGCTGAGTGCTCCCCAGGGGTCTCAGCAACCTGGCCTGGGCTAGGTGCCCTGCAGGTGTGCACATAGCTGTCATCTCTGGCTTTCAGTGCGACTGCAGCTGGTTCCTTTTCCTCTTCTTTGTCTTCCTCTTCACACTGGCTTGGCTCTACTTCGCCATCATCATCCTCAATGATTTCCACAACTTCAACGAGTGAGTAGGATCCTACACCCAGCCTTGGTCCCCATTCCCCCCTGCCCCTCTTACCATCTCCTTTGCTGTCAGGTTCATCTTCAGGCAGAGGAAGCTGTGGCTAGACTGGTCCCTGGTCCTGCTCATAGCTACTGCTGTGCTGATCACCTACTCAGCCGTGCTGCTGGTGAGCCCCACTGATCCCGCCGGGGCTGGTGTGGGTGTGGAGCTGTGCCCAGCACAGGCTGCCTCGCCTCTGCAGGGCCAGCTGGAGCCCACACCATGGAGCTGCTGGAGCTCTGTCAGCCCGAGCATGCTCAGAGACTCTGCCTGTGCTGGGGGGACAGAGCTCCTGTGGCTGAGTCCTGTACTCTTAGAGGACTGAGTTGTGGGGTACAGCCCACCTCTGACATCTCCTTGTTCTTGTCACAGGTCCTTGCTTTGTGCTTGCAGCTCTGTGGCCAGCCTTTGAAGCTACACTGGATGCACAAGGTGAGAGACTGAGGGTGTAAGCAGATGGTGCCTGCCCTGGCTGCCTTTGCACCTTGAGAAGCTGCAGCCAGCGTAGTGGGGCTACATACAGCTGCTGGGAGTGGCTGTGGGTCCCTGCAGAGCTGTGCTTTTCAGCCACATGTCTCTGAGATGGGAATATTCCCCTTGCTCAAAGCATGGGGTACAGAGCTCGGCTGCAAATCTATATGGGGGAAGTGAGGTCTTAGGACTTTCAGGGGCTTAGGACAAAGGGATGAGGAGGAGTTTGCCTGCCCTGCCAGGGTAGAGCCCAGCTGACCTGCAGGATGCCCTGTGCTCACCTAACTGCCCTGTGCCCTGCCCCGCAGATCCTGCTGATCTTAACTGCCCTGGTGGTGGCTGCAGCCTTCACAGGGCTGGGAATAAAGTGGGCGGAGGAGTGGAGAAGTGCACATATCTCCCTGCAGGTGAGTCACCTTGCTGCCAGAGACTTCCCCAGCTGTACTCTGAACCTGGCCTGTGGGGATAAGCTCAAGGGTGGTGACTGGAGCCCCCCAGCATGACTGTGTGCCATAGGGGTTAACTCTCTGCCTTTGATTTCTGCTGCCTGGCAAGGCAATGTGCTTCTGCTCGTGTAGTCCTGCCTGGAGCAGCTCTAGTCAGGGGGATGAATGCTGGCCAGACCAGAGCATGGAGTCTGTTCAGTGACCCCAGGAGCCTGTCCTTCACTCCCTGGCACTGTGACTCTTCCAGCAGTGCTGGCTGCAGTAGCAGATTCTTGGCATTGGAGCATGTAGATTTCAGGGACAAGAGCTGTGCTGGTGCCATCTGACCCCCTGCCTTTGCCTCCCTAGGCAACAGGTCCCTTCCTGCACATTGGAATCGTGGGGGGAATGACACTCCTTGCCTGGCCCCTGGCCAGCTTCATCTACCGCACCAACAACACAGGTAATCCCCCTTTAAGGCCTCTACCCCCACCACCCGACCCCCACCACGGGAATCACAGAATGGTAGGGGTTGGAAGGGACCTCTGGAGATCATCTAGACTAACTCCCCTGCCAAAGCAGATTAACGCAAAGCAGGCTGCACAGGACTGCATCCAGGAGGGTTTTGAAATTCTTCAGAGAAGGAGACTCCACAACCTCTCTGGGCAGCCTGTTCCAGCCTCACAGTAATTAAGTTTTTCCACATGTTTAGGTGGAAGTTCCTGTGTTCCCGTTTGTGTCCTTTGCCCCTTGTCCTATCACTGGGCACCACTGAAAGGAGACTGGCCCCATCTTCTTCATAGCCACCCTTTAGATATTGATAAGCACTGAGAAGATCCCCTCTCAGTTTTCTCCAGGCTAATTCAACCCCTGTCTTTCAGCCTTTCCTCGTAACAGAGATTTTCCAGTCCCCTAATCATCTTTGTAGCCCTCTGCTGGACACTCCCCACTAGCTGCCTGTCTCTCTGGAACTGGGGAGCCCAGCACTGGACACAGTATTCCAGATGTAGCCTCACTAGGGCAGAATAGAGAGGGAGGAGACCCTCACTCAACCTGCTGGTCACCATTCTTGATGCACCCCAGGATACCATTGGCCTTCTTGACTACAAGATCACACTCCTGGCTCATGGTTTACTTGTTGTCCACTGGGACTCACAGGTCCTTCTCCGTGCAGCTGCTTTCCAGAAGGTCAATCCCTAACCTGTACTGGTGCAGGGGGTTACTCATCCCCCGGTGCAGGACTCTACACTTGCCCTTGTTGAACTTCATTAACTTTCCCTCAGCCCAGCTCTCCAGGCTGCCCAGGTCTTGCTGAATGGCAGCACAGCCTTCTGATGTGTCAACCACTTCTCCTAGTTCTGTATCATCAGAAAACTTACTGAGGGTACACTCAGTCCCTTCATCCAGGTCATTGATGAATACACTGAACAAGACTGGATCCAGTACTGCCCCCTGGGGACCAGCGATAGCTTCCAGCTAGACTTCAGCTCTTCTCTGCCACTGATCACAAGCCTCTGAGCTCTGTTGTTCAGCCAGTTCTTAATCCACCTGCCCTGTTTGCTACCACCCAATCAAGTGGCACTGGTGGCAGAGTGGTAACATGGACAGTCTGGTAGTAATGCCTGCTCTTCTTTGCTGCGTCTCATGCCCAGGCTTTGGTACAGCTTCAGCCCTCACTGCTTTAAAGCTGAAGGAGGGCTATGGATGGCAGACTGAGTCCTGCAGAAGTGCTGGGTTGGGGTGCAAGGACATGTAGTGGGCCAAGCATAAATCTGCAGTTAATGCCAGGAGAAACCACCTTGGCTTATTCCTAACAGCCTGTAAAATACTTCTGTACCTCACCCCTCTGTCTGCCTGCAGGTCTCAGGGTGTTTCTGCTGCTTGTGTACTGCACAGTGATGATTGCACTGTATCTGGCTCCCCTGGGAATCACCTCCCCTTGCATCATGGAGGCAAACCAGCTGCCCCCCAAACCAGCCCTGGTTGGCCACCGAGGAGCACCCATGGTGAGTGACCAGTGCCAGCAGCATCCTGTAGCAGTGGTCAGGGTGGATGGGGCAGGCTGCTCTGCCAGCACAAGCCAGGCTGTGCCTGGCGTGGGGCACTGCTGTAAGACCCTTGATGCTGCAGGCCTGGGTGAGCTCTGGCCAGCCCAGCAGAGGTGGGTCCCCACGCCAGCTGGGGCAGCACAGGGTTGGAGGATGGGTGAGCACAGGGTGAAGACAGCGGGTGCAGCAGCTGCAGGGCAGAGCTGCTTGCTGAGCACTACTGGACCAGGAGCAGGCAGCTCTCAGCAGAAAGCCAGGCTGTGTAGTATGGGCTGGGAGGGAGGGCATAGGCAGCCTCTGGCTGTCTGCACCCAGCCCTTTTCCATCCTCTGCCCTACCAGGGTCACCCTGGTCTCATTGTGATTGCCCTAGAGCCCAGCCAAGCTGCTAGGTGCAGCCAGGCAGAATGAGTGCCTGCCTCCTGCCCCTTCCTCCTGTGCTTCCACACTAACACCATTCCTTTTCCAGCTGGCGCCCGAAAACACCCTCATGTCGCTGCACAAGGCTGTGGACTGTGATGTGCAAGTCTTTGAGACAGACGTCATGGTGAGGTAAATGGGCAGCAGGGACTCAGAGGGGGGAAGGGGTCTGTGTATCCTGGGATGTCACCTCCTACATGGGGCATTCTGAAACACGCCTGGAGGACTAATACAGCCTGCATTTCGAGGCAACCCTGTGCAAAGTGCGCTGCCTTTTCAACCTTCCCAGTATGAGACTGGCTCCAGCTTGGTGTCCCAGTGACCTAGGAGAGTTACTGGGTTTCTGTCCTCCCCACGCAGCCTTCCAGGACATTAGGAGACAGGCAACATCAGTGGAGGGGCACTGCTTGGAAAACAGACCCTGGCTTTAGTTCATCCCATGCAGTCCTTCTATGGGGACAGCTGTGGCAGTGAGCAAGGAACTGCTGGGTTCCTGGCTTGGTTTCTAGATGCTCTGTGCTTTCTAGATGCTTTTTGCATAGAGGACCTCAAGTAGGCCTAAGTGTGGGAGCTACCCTAGCAGCGTAGCTAAGAGTGGGCAGAAATGCCGGGGCAAGGATAGGAGACAAACAAGCTTACAACACAGAGCTTTCCTCTCTGCTCCTTTACCAGTGCTGATGGAGTCCCATTCCTCATGCATGATGAGGAACTCACCAGGACCACCAACGTGCAGGCTGTGTTCCCTGAGAGGGCTGCCATGAACAGTACCACCTTCAACTGGACAGACCTCCAGCAGCTGGATGCTGGCAGCTGGTTCCTGGAGGTCAGAATGCCCCTGGGGTTGTTGGTCAGGGATGGGTGTATTTGTGGGTGAAGCACGAGCTTTACCCTGGTGAACGTGCCCTCTGGAACACTGGTCCTGACAGACACCTGGACAAGGTGCAGAAGCACATCCATGCCTGCACAAATCTTTTGGGTGTGGTTATGCCCCAAGCTGAGATTTGTTCTGACTCCTTAGCTGAGTCATGGAGGAGGCTGGTTTGAGGGGAGATGCCTCATGCATTAGCTTTGAGCTGCACAGCCTGCCTGGGCTTGAAGGCAGCTGTGGCAAGGCTCTTCCCAAAAGGTGACTAACCAGCTGCTGAGCTGCTCTGAATGCCCACAGGTGTGGAGGCTGCTTGAAGTGTCCCATTAGTGGGAAGAAAGGTAGAGTTGCCCTGTGGATGTACAGGGGAAGGATCCCTGTGCCTTCTTGCACTGGATATGCCAGTGTAGGAAACTGAGAGCCAGACAGGCACCAGTTTGGGATGTGGAAGCTTATGGGGGGGTCTGCCTATGATGACTAACTCTCTCTCACCCTTGCAGCGGAGGCCATTTTCCACTGTGCAGAGTCTTTCTGCTGGCGATCACTACCAGGCAACAAAACAGAGGATCCCCTCCCTGGAACAGGCACTAGAAGTAGCAAAGCAGAGCAATGTCTCCATAATGTTCGACCTGAGGCCTGAGAACCACAGTGACTACCAGAGTTTCATCAATGCCACCCTGGAAGTGATCTTACATTCAGGCATTCCACTACAGCAGGTGAGCTGGCCACCACACCACCACTGCTGGGCCCTGCTGTCACACCTCTCCATGGTAGGAGATGCCCTGCCAACCCCACTGAGCATGCCTTCTACCTCATACACCACATCCCCAAATGCGGTCCCTGCTGGGGAACCCTGTCTTGGCATGGGGTTCTCTATCCAGGACAAGTTGCCAAAAATTAGGGGTTAATTCCTACAGCTTCAGACCTGTCCAAATACTCTGGTTCCCCAGCACTGGTCACTGTGGTGTGTAAACAGTGACTCAGCCTAGGGAGGGGACCAACAGTGCTAGCAAGAACAGGAAAACAATGCTTAGGCCTCCACCTCCCCACACTTTGCCACACCTCTCCCTGCAGCTCTTGACTCCTGCTGCAACCAGGTGCTGCCCTGAGAGGATAAATTAACACCCAAAGTGCTTTTCATTCTTGGGTTTTGGGGTGCATAGAGCAGGAGGGGACGTAGCAAAGACTTGCAGTGTGCTGATCCAGGGTTCATTCTTACTGCGGAGTTGGAGCTAGAAGGATTCACTGCTTGATCCATTCAGGGACCCAGAAAGGACATAACTGCTGCAGCTTTCTTAGGCTGGAACTGCTTTCTCCCCTCATTGGGGTCTCTTGTACTTACTTCTTAGCTGGGGCAAACTCTTAGGAGACCATACTGGCTGAGAGCCTCATGGAGTTGTTGAGTGTGAAGAGATGGGCAGAATGCAGCTGTCTGAGCAGGCCAAGTGTGCCTGGACATGCAAGGCAATATCAGAAGAGAGCAAGCTCTCCTGAACACCTCGTCTCTGCATGTGTTCTCTGGTTCTTGCCTAGGTCCTGTGGCTGCCAGATGGGTTCAGGGAACAGGTCAAACAACAAGCCCCAGGTGTTAAGCAAGTTTATGGCCGGAAGAGACTCAAAAATGAGAAGGAGCCACTGCTGCACGTCAACCTGCCCTACCAGGACATGAGCTCTGAGGAGATCAGGTGAGAGACTTGTGCCCAGAACCCTGTGGGCTGTCCCAGGGGCTGGCAGAGGTAAGGGCCGGCTGAGGCTGTGTGCTGGCAGACTGCTGGGATGGCCAGGGTGTGTGCTGCAGTCTTGTGGACAAGCATGCCTTATGAGGCAGGGCTGGTACAGGGGATGGATCTATCTGCAGTCCGCTGTCTTGCCAGCAAATCTGCCCTGGGTCTGGCTCTCCAGACAGTTGCTGCATATAGTTGCAAGTGCTGGATCACCTCCCAGATACACGGTCCCTTTGGCAGGCTGAGCGTGCGGGCAGCCTGCTGTCTGCTGCTCTGACCCCGGCTGTCCCGTGCAGGCAGTACCGCCGGGACAACATCTCTGTGAACCTCTACGTGGTAAACCAGCCCTGGCTCTTCTCGGTGCTCTGGTGCTCTGGGGTGAGCTCTGTCACCACCAACGCCTGCCAGGTGCTGAAGGAGATGAAACACCCCATCTGGCTGTTTGTAAGTGACCCCTCCATCCTTCACCCTGCCTCGAAGGCTGTGCCCCAGGCACTTGTGGGTCCCTTCCTGCAGCAGCCCTGGGCTGTGTCACCAGTACACCAGCCATGGCTGATGTTCATGGCTTGTCTTGTTGCCTTGCAGCCCAGCAGCACATATCTCATGATCTGGATTGCTGTAGACTGCACTTCTTTCCTTGCCATCCTCTGGGCCTTCCTCTTGATGAAGTATGTTTGATCCCTTCTCCCCTCCCAGGGCAGGTCTGTTGGGGGAGGCTCTAGTGTGCTCCGGGTGGCTGGTACCAAACCCAGTCATACCTGCTGCCACCACTCTCTGGACTCATATCCCTGGGGGTCCTCTCCTGTCTGCTGGCTAAGTGAGACCACAGTGTGTGGAGGAAGCTTTTACCACCAGGCTACAGCTACAAATCTGGCTTGACCCTTTCTCAAGATGCTGGATACCTTAGTTCACATTTACTAGCTCACTCTGCAACCCCAGGGCTTTGTGGGCTGAGGCTGGGGGACCTTGGCCCTGCTCCTTTACTGGTGCTGCAGGCACCAGGAGCAGATCCCTGCAGGACTGTGTGTCCTGTGTGGTCTCACAAGTCTCCAGCTGGGAGCTTGGGGGTGGGAAGGAGGAGGCCAGACTGACATGCTAAAGTTGATCCTATTCCATCTCTTCTCTAGGAAATGCTCCCAGAGAAGACGAGCAGTGGGTAAGTGTGCACAGATGTGAGCTCCCCTCCCTTGCAGCCAAGTTGTGCCTGTGGTATTCTCCTGGGCAGGCAGGCAGTTTTCTCCAGGTGAACACAAAAGTGCAGTCTGGGATGGCCGGCGGAGGGAAGGGAATCCAAGCCCAGGGAGTCTTGTCCTGCCCTCTGCAAACAGCCATGTGGGACAGCACTGGGGAGTCCCACGTTCCCTTGTGTCCTCAAACCTGCTTTTCAAGCTGCTCTGCCTGTCACTGCAGGATAATGGCTGCCTGCAATGACTGCTTTTTCTCTATGTCTCCCCAGAGTCCGAGACAGACGTGCTGCTCACAAAGATCAACAGCTTGATGCAAGAGTGACCCCTCCAGCGTTCATCAGCCATTGGCAGGAGCAGCCAGAGCTATGCACAGCTCAAGTGGGGACCCCAGGCCAGCTTCGACGCTCCTTTCCTTTGCAGACCCCTTCCTGAGACTCCTGTCCTGCATAGCCTTCCGGGCTCCTTTCATGGCACACAGCTGTCCTCAGCTGAGAAGACCTGGAACTGGGTTTCTGGTTCCCAATGGCAGTGAAGAACTGGAACCTTTGCAGGGTTTTGCTGTGGCTGGCTTGTGCCTGGGGGCTGAGTAGTTATCCAGTGGTGCTGGGGCTAAAACCTCTGCCCCGGGGTTTGGAGACTAGTGGGGATCAGAGTTGCTGTTTGGCGCAGGTGAAGGGCAGGCTGTCAGCAGCACTTCCTGCAGCCAGCGGTGGGAAACCTTGTTTAAAGTGCTGCTTCCCTGGGGGCTGGCCTGCCCCATGGCTTGAGGAATAGGAAGGGCGGTGCTGGGGGGAGTGGGGGTGGCTTTTCACCTGATGGAAGGGGGAACTGAGCTTTTCCCACACCCGTGCTGGACACAGGTGCTGCCCCTGCTGCTGCTGGCTCGTGCTTTTGGGCCAGCATGCTGGCACCCCATGCAGCAGTTCGTGGCTATTACTCTGGGGGGGAGCAGGGCCTGGGGGCGGAGGGTGTCTGGGGACCGGACCACGATCACACTCCTGCTCCTGCGAGGCTGCGGAGGTGTTCGAGGAGCGGGCAGCGGTGGGACTCGGCGTCGTTCACTTTGCAGCAGGGTCTTCTTGAACGTGGAAACGGGAATCGGGTCGGTTTTCCTTGTTCGTACCTTTTTATGTCAATAAATCAGCGGAGCGGTAGACAGACCGCAAAGGGTGAGCTGGAGAGCTGCTCCCTCCCTCTTTGCCG